CATCAATGCCCTCAATTGGTAGACACTCATTTGGAAGTGGAGCGCCACACAGTTTTGAGTTCCCCTTAAACGCAGAAGCATTGAAACTTTGGAGCTGAGTGCCTGTTGGGATTGGTCCTTCAAGATTATTGTATGAGACATTCAAAGATTTTAAGAAATTAAGGCTTGCCAAGGACAACGGAATGTTTCCAGACAAATGATTCATGGAAAGGCTCAAATTCTCTAGATTTTTGAGGTTGGATATTTGTTCTGGAATGTTCCCGGAAAAGTAGTTGCTACTAAGATCCAAGTTGTGGACAAGGTGTATTTGGCCTATTTCAGTAGGTATTCTGCCATGAATGTGATTGAGAGATAGGTCTACTGTTGGTGCAAAGTTGGACAATCTTCGTGGGTAAAAAATTGGATTTAGGTCTGCAGCGGTGAAGATAGGCAGGTCAATATAATCGTCTACTTGAGTTGTGGTTGGTTCATGTACCAAACTTGGGAGTCCACAAAGTTCTTTTGGAAATTCACCGGAAATTTGGTTGTCTGCCAAGCTCAAGAAAAAGAGTTTGGGAAGAGTCCCCAATGATCTAGGAATTGGCCCTGTAATTCGACTACCTTTCAGAATCAAGATCTCTACGTTCTTGAGTTTTGATAACCATAAAGGCACTTGACCAATGAACTCACAATAATAAATACTCAAAAATCGAAGATTTTGAAACCCATCGACATCAAGCATGCCTTCATCAGTTGGAATTTCCTCGCCTTTGAATGAATACGAAAGGAGAAGTGTTTGAAGACTTTTGCAATGCATCAATATCTTCATTGCCCTAGTGATGTTGGTTAAGCCACCAAGTGAGAGCAGGGACAAAGATTTCAATGAAAGAATTTCATGTTGTATTTGTCCCTCTAGATTATTTGCACTCAAACGAATAGCTTTTAGGGACTGGCATGAATAAAGGCTTGTTGGAAATGTACCAATAAAGTGGTTTCGAAGTAGGTCAAGTTTGCTGAGGTGACTGAGTTTCGAGAAATTGAGCATAGAGATATCTCCTTCCAAGTTGTTGGCTGCCATATGTATTTCTACAAGGTTCGTGCAATTCATCAACGATGGGGGCAAAGAACCTTCAAAATGGTTGTAATCAAGAGACAAGATTTTTAATTTGGAGAGCTTTCCAAAATAGAGAGGGAGCACGCCACTCAATGCATTAAAGGAGAGGTCAAGGATTGCAAGGTTGGTGAGGTTGAAAATTTTCTCACTTATGGCTCCATGGAGTGAATTGGAAGGGAATGCAATTTCTTCGAGTTTTGTGGCATTGTAGATATCTTTTGGAAGTAATCCTGAGAGGTTATTGTTACCAGCACGAAAAATTTGCAGTTTTGAACACCCCCCGAGTTCAGGAGAAATGTTGCCACTGAATGCATTACGGGAAAAATCCAACAACCTAATCAAGGGAGAAGAATTAATACATATAGAGGATGGGATTAAACCCGAGAAGCTATTGTTGTGGACGTTGAAACTAGTTAAGTTCCGAGCTTTTTGAAAGAATGACGATGGAATTGCACCATGGAAGCGATTGCTTGACAAATCCAACGTTTGGATATTGTGTGATGGCAGAGAAAATGGTAGGTTTCCTGAAAGAAGATTAAAACTCAAATCAAGGATCTCAAGACGATTCAAAGACAAGAAAAATTCAGTTCCAAGTGATTCGGAAATTGAATTGTGAGAAAGATTCATGTGGGTGAGGTGTGTGAGATTTCCAAGTGATGATGATGAGGGGAAAATAGCTCCTTTGAGACCTTTGGAGGATAAGAGCAAATGGGTGACCAAACCATCCTGATTACAAGTGATGCCCTTCCAACGACAACAGTTAACTGAAGTCCAATTTAAAGGACGAGAAGATAGGGTGGAGGCAAAGGACAAAAGAGAGGCGCGCTCAATTTGGTTGCATGCATGAACATTTGTAGAGATGATGTGAGAGAATAAAAGGATGAGAAGGAAGCCATGAGCCATTGGGTTGGAATTTAAGCTGCTCTAGCATATATATGTTTCTTTACATTCGGAATTCTCAAAGTTTGGGTATATATAGAGCAAGTAATTGCATACATAATCCAAAGTGAATCATTAAAGCTCGAACAGGTGCGTTAGCGGCAAAAATCATTGCAAACTGAGATATTGGAAAACAACCATAACCACACATTACAAATGTTCCGAACCCCTCTATACGTCGAAGGGATATTTCCCACTTGAAAACATTGGTTCTAAATTAAGGAGGGGCCACCATGAAAGGACCAGAGCTAATGGTACACAACGACTCACTAGTACTTGTCCCTAGAAGAAGGGGAAGAACTCATCACTATGTTTCTAGTGGGAATTGAATTAAAAATAAAAATAAAAATAAAAAGATTCTTTAGAGAGAATATGAATTGACACCGAAAGTTAGTTTTTGTACTTGCATGCTGTTTAGTATTATCAATTTTTCTATACAGCATGCCAAACCCTGAATTGTCTCAAAGTGGTAATTGAAGAAAAAGGTTCTTTGGAGATAGAATATGAATTGACACCGACAACTGGTTTATGTTCGTACATTCTGTTTAGTACTATCTAAGCTTCGTATACCGCAGGTGAAAACCTAAATTATCCCGACGTGGTAATTGAAAAAAAAAGGATTCTTCAAAGATAGAATATAAATTGACAATGAAAGCTGATTTTTGTACATATGTGCTCAACGTTTTGCATACGGCATGCCAAAACCTGAATTGCCTTAACGTGGTAATTGAAGGGGGAAAAAAAAAAAAAAAAAAAAAAAAAAAGAGATTCTTTAGAGAGAGAATATGAATTAACACTGAAAGCTAGTTTTCGTAGGTACGTGTTGTTTAGTACTATTAACGTTTCCTATATGGCATGTCAAAACCTGAATTGTCTAACCGTGGTAATTGAAAAAAAATATTCTTTAGAGATAGAATATGCATTGACACCGAAAGCTGATTTTTGTACATATGTGTTGTTTAGTATTATCAACGTTTCGTATACGGCATTGCCAAAACCTGAATTGTCTCAACTGCTATGAACCTGAACACCTTCAAGAACTTTCCAGCCATATATTAAACCTTAAACAATAAACTTGCTAATGAGTCGATATTATACTATATATTTTATCCTATTCTTAGTTATAATTTATTGGTTATTTTTGTAGAATAGTCAAACGGTGGAATTTTTGAGTGATTTCAACTAGAAGATGTTTGTGAGTCTCTTAGTTTGTTCTTTTCAAAGTTTCACATTTTTCCACCAAACGGTTTATTTATAGAGATGAAATAAAGGAGGAGCGCGCATAGTTGTTATAGTGACGTTTTGGGCTTGATTGCAAATTTTGGAGCCCATGATGACCTATTTTGGATTTGGCCATTTCTGAAAATGTGTTCAAATTGTTCTAATCTTTAAACAAGCTATCATGGGCTGAATTTGGAGAAGATTTAGGTCTAAAACATGGCTGGACCGACTCATAGCAGATTCTCTTAGTTAATTTGGGATTTTGTTTCCTAGTTTATCTTAATTTATTTTGTTTCTCATTTTTATTATAAGACTTTTTCTAGGTAGGATTTTATTTCGTAATAGTATAAATAAAGCTATTGAGCCATTAGGGTTCAAAACGCATCAATTTGGAGAATTCCGCTTAGAGGGCTTTTGATGATTAAAGTTTATTTTCAAGGTGTTTTCTTTCCATGATCTTCATAATATTTTGTTTTATGATTTTTTGTAATAAATTTCTTTTGCTAGGGTGAGGTCATGAGTCTTAGTAAGAATATGTAGTTCATTTTCAATTTACTTATGATATTATGCATGCATTGTTTGAATTATTAATCACTGTGTTTAAATTACTTAGTTCTCTTGATGATTGGCCGTCATTATGATATTTAGAAAAGTAATTTGATGCAATTTTGGTCAGGAGGTTCCTTGAAATTGACGATGGCTTCATGTGGTTGATAATTGTTATTTCAGAAACTCTTGTTTAGGTTATAAACATAGAATTGCTAAAACTATGACACTTGTTTCCTATAAAACTTGCATTATTTGGAACCCTGCAGAGTAACTTTTGATAGATCAAACAAGTATGTTAGCCTCCATTGAATCTAAATTTATTTCACCTCTCAATTACCAGGTCATTGCAGTCTTCTACATAGTTGTCACCATATTTCTTTGGAATTGATTGTCTTTTAGTATCTACAAGTTATCAGTCATCATGGCCACTGTTATTTAAATTTTGACATCTATATATATTTTTCACATATTTCATGCCAAACGAAGCGGAAATATTTTCGCAAATAACAAAGGAAAGTTTGAACACCCCATATAGGGTTCTAATTCGGCTGTGCGACAGGAGAAAAACTTGTGTGGGGTTTGGCTTGCCATTGAATTTCGTTGAGTGACACTACAATCCACTCAAAACTCGTCATGTGGTAAGTCTTAAATATAATCTTTTATCATTCTTTTATATTTAAAAATTTTATAATTATTATTTTTAACTAATTAATATATTATATTATATATATTAATGTTATGTTTCCATTTTTATTTCTTTTCCCCTATTTTTTTTCTTCCCAAATCCCCCCCCCCTCCCCCCCCGCCGGACAACTTTGTTTTGTAGTAGGTTTAAGGTTTTAGTACTCTTTCCCCTTTCTTTCTTTCCCAGTTTGTTTCTTTCTTTCTTTTTAAAAAAAAAAAGTTCTACACCCACTCCAATTTTATCATGGAAAGCAACCAAGAATATGTAAGTTTCTTTTCTTTCTTTATACAATAGTTGCTTTGATCATGTGACATGAATAACCCACTAGGGTTATTTTCTTTTCTTTTAATTGGGGGTTTTTGGGTTCGGGTGAGGGTTTTTGGTTTTTTTATATTTATAATATGAATTAGGGTGTCTGCTATGGTTGCTACCTTCTTTATTATGAGTCTTTAATTAATATATTAGTCTAATCTTTGATTTTTTTTTTTCAATTAATAGGTTGTTGCTAAGGCAATGGAGTTTGAAGAAGATCTGAAAATCGGAATGGTGGTGTATTCAGACGCTGAAGCTTTTCAGGTATGCAATGCTTATGCTTTGAGGAAGGGGTTCAGTCTTCGTAAAGGGCATATTCGAAGAGATAAATCAAATAATGTTACGCAACGAGATTTTTTGTGTTCCAAGGAAGGGTTTCCACTATTTAAAGACTTATGCAATGACAACATGGTTGATAAACTAACTACACGAAAAGGTTGCAAGGCTTTAATCAGATTTTCAGTAAATCAAGGTGTATGGAAGATTTCACATGTTAATTCAATTCATAATCATGAGCTTGCCAAGCCTGAAGAAAGACAATTTCTAAGATCAGGTAGAAAAATACACGATGCTCATGCTGGGGTCATTAGTTCTATGGTGGATGCAGGTATAAAGCCCTCATAGTCATATTGTTACTTAGCAGAAGAAGTTGGAGGGGCTGAAAATGTTGGATTCACAAAGAAAGATTGTCAAAATTTTTTGTATAGAAAGAAGTTTGAAACAATGGAAGGAGGAGATGCACAAAGTTTGTTTAATCATTTCAAGGAAAGGCAAGCTAAGGATTCCAAATTTTTCTATTCGATACAAGTGGACCAACTGAATCGGATGACAAATTTTTTTTGGAGAGATGACAGATCAAGGTTAGACTATGATTGCTTTGGAGATGCTTTATGCTTTGATACTACATTTCGAACTAACAAGTACAATTTGATTTGCGCTGTATTTGTTGGAGTTAATCATCATTGGAAGAATGTGCTACTTGGTTGTGCTTTTTTGTTAGACGAAAGCACCGAATCATTTGTTTGGTTATTTAAGACATTCTTAGAGTCGATGGGCAATAAACAACCAAAGACTATTTTCACTGATGAAGATCAAGCAATGGAAAATGCTATTGAGCAAGTGTTTACGGGGACACGGCATCGGTTGTGTACTTGGCACATCGCACATAATGCTACAAAAAATATTTCTAGCCTTTATGCCAATCCTGAGTTCAGAACACATTTCAACAAGGTGTTTGGTGGTTGTCAAAGTGTACCAGAATTTGAAGTTGCATGGGATTCCATGACTAGTAAGTTCAACCTTCAAACTCATCCATGGCTTAATAAGCTATATAACCTTCGTAATAAGTGGTGTCCTGCTTTTAGCTTAGATACTTTCTCTGCAAATATGAAATCCACTCAAAGAGTTAAGAGTACAAATAATGTTTTCCATCAAATGTGTACAAAGACAACAAATATTATTGAGTTTGTGCTTCACTATGAGAAAAAGCTAGAAGACATGCGTTTGATAGAGTTACAAGAAGATTTTCGCTGCAAACAAGGTATGCCTCGTCTCAAAGTAATTAGTGGAATTTTATGTCATGCAGCTGAGGTGTACACCAATAAAATATTCAAGTTCTTTGAAATTGAGTACATGAGTTGTTTGACAGTAAGGTTAAGAGAAGTTAGTAATGAAGAAGGTGTTACTATCTATGAAGCAACCGAAGAAGGTCATAAAAGAGTGAACACAATTGAGTTTATCTCTCATACTTCCATGGTTTCCTACTCATGTAAAATGTATAAAGCTAAGGGCATATTGTGTCGTCATGCTTTAAGGGTGTTTGATTCGAAATATCTTACTAGTATAGCGACCCAATATGTATTAAAGAGATGGACCAAAACGGTGAAAGAAGGGATGCTTTTGAGTAGTGATTTAGATGATTCATCACCACAAGGAAATCTGAAGTCTGCTCAATCATTACGTCTTAGTCAATTGATGCATAAAGGAAATAGTCTTTTTAGCTTAGCATCAATGAGTGATTGGGGTGCTCACATTGTTAGTGAAAAATTATCAGAGGCAATGAAGTTGGTTGAAAAGGACATAAAAGCAAAGAAAGCCACAGATAAGGTTAAAAAGAAAAATAGCCTATCTACTTCCGGTGTTCAAGATGATGATCAACATATATTGGATCCTCCAACAGTGAGAGCTAAAGGGGTAACCAATAAGAGATTGAAGAGTGCTTTGGAAAAATCGAAGAAAGTGGCAAAAGTTAGATATACCTCAAAAATGTCACCACCTAATACTGTAGTTTCTGGTAATACTCATTCAATATGGTACTTTATACTTTTTATTGTGAATATACTATATTATTATGTAATGAATATATGTACACTTGCAGAGCAACATAATCAAGAGTATATCAATGCTCCATCAAATATGACAACCTTGTATCCATCATTTCATGACTTTTATAATCAGGTTTGTATTGAAACTTATATTTGGAGTTATAAGTCACAATTTGTGTTATCATTCTAACATTTTGTTTATTGATTTAGGTTAATGGCAGTAGACATCTTGGATAACATAACTTTAGCTCTTCAACTTCAAGAATTCTTAGAAAAATGCGCAGATGCTAGAAACATAGAGCTCATGGATTGAAGATGGATGAATTGAAGAGACAATGTGGGATTTTTTTTTCTTTTTATTTATATAGTCTGGTTGCTTGACATTTAGTCAAAATAACTTTTACATTCACCTGGGATATCAAGTTTTTTAATAGCTAATGTTTTGATCAAAGTTTTATTTCAAATAGTATTATCTATAGTTCTTAATTATATTTGGTAGAGAAGTACTTTCTTGAAAAAAGAAAGTTACTACGATCAAAACAAAGTGAAAGATAACAAATATGAAAAAATTGACTCGATAATCTGGAGTGTGCACAGCAACTTTGTATAAAGAAAGAAAATAAACTTATAGTTGCTTTCCATGATAAACTTGGAGTGGGTGCATAACCCTCCTTTTTTTTTTTTTAAAAAAAAAAAAAAGAAAAAAAAAAGAAACAAACAAACAAAACTGGGAAAGAAAGAAAGGGGAGGGAGTCGGCAAAACAAAGTGTGGTGAGGGGATTTGGGAAGAAAATAAATAGGGGGAAAGAAATAAAAAAGGAAACATAACATTAATATATATAATATATTAATTAGTTAAAAAAATAATTATAAAAATTTTAAATATAAAAGAATGACAAAAGAATATATTTAAGACTTGCCACATGGCGAGTTTTAAGTGGATTGTAGTGCCATTTAGCGAAGTCCAGTGGCAAGTCAAGCCCCATACAAGTTTTTCTCGTGCGACAGACAAGCTTATAGAACTGCTCATAAAGGGACTTATGATACTGCAAGATAACAGAACAATAGTTCATTGCTCTTTGGACTCCATACGGCCTTTTTCTCATAAATAACAATTCTAGGCTTGGCTGTGGGTCTAAACCTTCACGAAAAATTCTAGATATAGGCTAATGTTTCGTAATTTACCACGAAAAACACAAAAGAATGTCTTTCCACATCCAGATACTGTTGAGAATGAGTTTCATATTTATGGAATGAGGGACCATGTATGGACTTATAAGAGATTGGGCTACTGCCCCTATTGCCAATTGGTTTTATGGTGAAACCTCAACTTTTCTCATGGCCTTTTTCATGGTATCATGACAGGTTGTCCCACGTGTGAAGCCAAACAGCCACACACGCTCCACGTTAGCCGTTGTGTTGCCCACGTGTTAGGCTCGAAAATTCGCCAGTTGAAAATGAGTACCACATTGATGGGAGGAGGGACTTTGCATGGACTTATAAGACGTTGTGCTACTCCTCATATTGCTAATTGGCTTTATGATGGAACCTCAACTTTCCTCGTGGCTTTCTTCAAATACAAACGTTAAATTGCAAGATCCGTAAAGCTTTAAACACACAAATGAACTAAGGGAAAGCTTAATCACACGACCAGGTTATTACTGCATGCTTCTACTTGGTCATTGATAGCCTAATAATATAAACAGTGTTCAACAGCAACATAAGGTAATAAAGGAACACGCATATCCCTATAGAATCGTTAAGATTAGTAGATTAGTCGGGGAGATTATAATTAGGAACTTGCCTGCAATTGTCAAGGAATCTTCAGCCAGATCAGGAACTTGAAGCACATCCTCTTCAAAGGTAAGAAGCAAAGCAAAAGCTGAAATTGCCACGTCTATATTCTTTTTCCTCTCAAAACGATTGATAGACAGAAAATTTAGTCTGGAATGAAAAAACCGAAGCAGGAAAAAGAAACAGTAAACTACCAGATGAAAATCTGAGAAGAAAATCTTCAAAGGTATGGTTAGATATAGAATCATAAAGGCAGTATAAAAGTAAAACCAAAAGGCGCTAGCAGATATACAAACATGTTCATTACTTGTAAGAATTGGCGGGTTCATTAAACTGGTTCACATTGACAGCTCGATAAAGAACAGCTGGCTGAATTCCTCTTGCGTCAAGATGCTTAAATGTTTTTGCAAACGTAGATGCTGTGAATTTGCTGTTATGCCATTCCTGTAGGAGTGCCAGTATTTATCAAAACGAAAAAGGAAATATAGTAAGGAATAGTGGTATAGCCGCAACAAAATAACACTGAAAAGATGCACAAGAAAAATTAGATAATGTCATAAACCCGAGATATGGAATCAGACCAGTTGTCATTTCTTCTACGAGTCTATGGGTTTTTTCTATACATCCTCCTCAAAACAGTTGTGTGTTGAGCCAGCAATACATCCGGAAAATGACAATAAAAGAGAACCTGGACAGAAAGATGCAACGCATTAAACAACCCTACTACGGTACTACCAGAAGCTACCAGATCACAATTTGTACGAAAAGGTGCAAATACGTTTGTTGCCTTCTTAAGCTTCAGCAGTGGGATGTGACATAGAAAAGACGGCTAAACAGCCAAAATGGTTTCTGAGATTTGCATAACACATCATTTTGGTTCCTGAGATTGAAAATCAATAGAAATAGTCTCTAAGATTGTCCACCATCCATCATTTTGGTCCTTATATTAAAAACTCTGTTAAGTGTCCTGGAACTCTTGGCCGGAAGTTTGGGCAATTTTCAAAACTTCGTAACTCAATCGTTTCTAAACCAAATTCGACCTATAATATATCAAAATGAAGATAAGAAAGTGTAGAACAATATTATACCATTTGTAACCCCAATGGTTGCCTGATATGTTCGGAAAATAGCATCAAGGTTGACTGGTCCGCGGGAAAACTGGAAAACTCACCGGAAACTAGATAAACTTTAAACATTCATAACTTCTTCAATATTCAACAAAATCAAGTGATTCAAAAACGAAAATCATACTTCTCAACGAGATCAAGAGAAGGGCACCTTTCTAGGTGGCTAACTCGCCGTGGTTTGGCCAAAACACGGCTCGAAATTTGCTAACTCATTTTCGAGTTAGCCATTTTCCGGCAAAACCACGATGAGTTAGCTGTCAAGAAAGGTACCATTCTCTTCCTCTCAAGACATATGATTTTTGTTTCGAATCACTCAATTTCGTTGAGTATTGAAGAAGTTATGAACGTTTAAAATTTACCCAGTTTCCGACGAGTTTTTCAATTTTCCCGCGGACCAATCAACTTTGAGGCTATTTTCTGGTCACCTCCGGCAACCATTGGGCTTCCATATAGGTGCAATCTTGTTCTAAACCTTCCTATCTTAATTTTGATATATTATGAGTCGAATTTGGTTAAGAAATGATTGAGTTACGAAGCGTTGAACATTGTCCAGACTTCCGGACAAGAGCTCCGGGACACTTAACAAAGTTTTTAATGGAATAACCAAAATGATGGATGGTGGACATTCTCTAGGACCATTTTGGCTATTTAGCCGTTAAGACCAAGGGTCTCAAAAGACAAGGGGTAGTAACCTGGGATATCACTCAACCAGTAGCAACGAACTCGCTTGACGTCTCTACGGGTATAGAACCTGGAAATCACTCAACCAGGGACAACGAAATTACTCACGTCGCTAATCATGGATTTGCTCAACACGACCAAACCTCACTCTTGATTTAAGTAAGGAGAAAACTCTCTTCTTATATTACTTTTCTTTTTAATTCACTAATTGGCTACCTTAAAGATACATTTGGAGCCCCTTAAATTGGGAGATTACAAGGCATTGGTAGAGTAAATATTTAATAATAGGATAGTTACTAGGCAACTCATAAAAGAGAAGGTGACAAAAGTTTTGGGAGATGAGAAGTCACGAAAGCCTTAAATGTATTTGTTCTTCATGCACTGCATCATTCTTGTCTTCTTGAAAGAAAACTTGTCCTCCAGTTTCCTTTGATTTTTTTTTTCCTCGATCGTTTGGATGACCTTTCAATTTTTTTTTTCCACAACAGCCACAATAGCAAAAGCAAATCCAAAGCTGTCAAGTTGTTCCGTCCCACAAAATATTCCTTTGAACTCCACTTCCATGCTATTCCAAAGCAAGTACACCATAGTTCCTCTTTATGAAACTGCATGTAAAATGTTTCCGCCATTGTACTCATATTATGTGGATAACCCCAATCCACAAGGCCTTCATCTCCTAGCAGCAAATAAACTTCTTGATGAGCCACATCAACGCTATACTACTCGTCATCATCATATTTGTCATAAATTGGTGGAGAATTCCAATCGATAAAACCAATCTCTTCAACGATGTGATCTTGAAATGGATTGATAATCATAGCCATGATCTATAACTACAGTGGAAAACCTGCTCTGATGCCACTTGACGTAGAAAAGACCAAGGGTCTCAAAAAGACAAGGGGTAGTAACCTGAAAATCACTCAACCAATGGCAATAGATTCGCTCGACGTCTCTACGGGTACAAAATTTGGGAATCACTCGACCAGGGGCAACGGAATCACTCATGTCACTAATCGTGGATTCATTCGACATGACCAAGTCTCACACTTGATTTTAAGGAAGGAGAAAACTCACTCTCTTCTTGGATTAATTTTAATTCACTAATTGACTAAAATACATTTGGAGATCTTTAAATAGGGAGATTACAAAGCATTGGTAGAGTACATATTTAATAGTAGAATAGTTACTAGGCAACTTAATTAAAAGTTAAGGTGACAATTAAAGGTTTTGAGAGATGAGAAGTCACTAACGCTTTAAATATATTTGTTCCCCATGCACTGCATCAGGATGACAACTGAAACCTGATCTGCTAGTATTACATCAAACGATGGCCACATGACCAGCATGCAGAGAGCAAAAAAAGGCACCGTATACATGCACACAAAGCATTGAGTCGATAGAATATATGTCGGGGTAGGAAGGCACCGTATAAAGTAACTGGAAAGAAACCTGTGAAACCAAATGACAGTAAAACATCAAACAATGCATGATCTTGAATGACAGTTGATCAACGCGAAACTGACAGAAAGTAAAAACGAAAGAAACGAAAACATATTCTATTTGTTCCCACTTTTATAGATTCCCAAACGGCCTAAAGGAAGTGAAACGTATAAACCCCCTTCTCATCCCAAGGCCTAACATCCATTTACATACGTAATACCTTATTTGATGAAGCTCCCATTTACTATATTAGAATGTGAGCATTCAATCT